GCTCCTCAGTGAGGCAAACGAGGCTCATTTGGAGATGTCTTTCTATTTGTGTTGACCTCATGAGGGTCGTAACAGCCAAGAGCAGAGTGTGAAAAATCCTGCTGCCTCCTTTGGCTTTCCTGCTGTAGCCTCAGGCAGGACTGGGGGGGCGAAAGCAGCACGAGAAGAGACTCATTAACATTTCCTCTGCCCAGCGAGGACAGGAAAATAACAAACATCTCATTAAAGAAGGAGAGAGGAGAGAATTATAAAACACAGAAGATATTTTTAGCCGGAAAACAAAGCACTCTCCCTTCCCCTCAAAGTAGGGCTTTCCAGATGAAAAGGAATAAGGAGAGAACTTGCAGGCTCCTCTGCAGTAGGAGGAGTGGCACTGATGACAATCACCATTATTGTGGTTAATACTGATGGAAGGGGGGGTGCCCTCAGATTCCCAGTTGATTCCACACCTTCCCAGTGACGTCCTGGGGGATGATGGGTGGCCAGGAACAATAGAGCCACTGACGTGATCCGGGTTTTGAATGCAAAACTCTGGGTTTTGAGTGCAATAAAGTGTTCCAGAGCTGGGCATGGATGAATAGGCACGTATGGTGCAAATTAAATGGGTTATTCTTTCCTCCCTGTTTCTTTCTTTACAAATTTAAAAACCCAATACCTTGGTTTCCACTTCGTTTTATTGCCTTGTTGAGGGTTTTGCTACCAAACAAATGACTGGGCAGCTTTGTCTGGTGAGCTATAGGAGGGTCAATAGGGATTAAAAGGATGTGGAGGTAGAAAGGGGGGAATTTTAATTCCTTATTTTCTCCTTTTTTCTTTTTTCTTGTAGGAGGAAGTAATTCTGGAAGGGAAAAGGAAAATTCTAGCACAGCAAATATAGGATAATGCAGAAAATCCCAGTAGGAAATATTAGTTCCTGCAAGAATATGGGCTTAACTGCCCACAGGCCTTCAGGCTTCTAATTTTCAGCCCTTCACGGAGTCCTGGGTGAAAGAAATGGTCCTCCAGGCAGCAATTCAGAGAAGAAACACAATGCACATCCCAAGGAATAATTAGAGAGGGATCCCGGCACCACAGGAGGGTGATCCAGCATTTCCAGCCTCCACCAGAGCTCTCCAGAGCATATGGCACTAAAAGGCAGCACAAATCAGCTGCACCACAAACTTTCCCAAGCCCTGGGATCTCCCCCTTCTCTCTCACTCCCCCCACCAGGTTCATCTGGCTCAGGCTCGTCTCCAAGTTGGAGTGAAATGTGTTGCCAGAAGGTGGATCTGAGCAAAACACTCGGTCAGATGAGGTGGCAAAGGGTTGTCAACCTGAAAAAAAAGAATCCTCCAAGCCCCAACACATTTGCTCTGAGGCAGCAAAAACTCACACCCTGAATTGATGCCAAGGGCGAGGGACACGAGGCTCTGGGTGCAAAGTGACAACACTGGGGAAGGTGCCAGTGCTGGCTGTGCCTTGGTGTCCCTTCTTCTGGTCCCCATCCCCTCAGTGGGGTTCTCCTGCCTCACTGCCATGGGCTCCTTTGGCTGCCTCTGATGCCTCTGTTGGCTCTTCTCTTTCTCTCTCCTCATTTTTTTGGGTCTGATCCCAATCTGCTCTGGTTTAAAACTGTTCTCAGGAAGCTCTAGGGAGACAAGCCACGCTGACACCATCCCTGCTGAGCTCTGAGATGTGGCTTTTTGCTATTTTCTCTCCTTCCCTTGCCTCCTGCTCAGCTTTTTTTGGAGGGAACTGCTCACTGATCACCCTCATACTCACTTCCCACTTTCCTTTCTGTTCTTCTTGGCCTTGGACCTCCTGTAGCCACCCAGAGGACAACAAGCCCTGCTATCTGCTCTGTCCACCTCATTGACAGCTCCCCTGAGACCAAGCAGGTATTTTCAACAGAATCCTGGCTTTGCCTCTGTGAAACCCTGGGATGAAGATACTGTGGCTTCCAAGCCTCCCCCCATCCTGCCCCAATCCATGGATCTTGTCCTTCCATGCCTGTCTGTCTCTGTGTGCCTGGAATCTGCCTGTCTGCCTCAAACTGTCTCCCTCCATCACCTCCCAGCATCTCCCTCCTCTCTTTGCTTCCGGCTCCCCTCTCTCCTCCTCCTCTTCCCACTCACCTTCCTTTAATTAGAAGCACAATGAAAATGCTTATCACACATGTCTTAATCAGCAGCTCATTCCCCAGCAGGTCCAGAAGGAAAACCCCCATTCCCTCCTCGCTTCTCCTGCTTCCCCCACCACCTCCACAGCACCAGGAGAGTGATTAGAACAGCTCTGTGAATGAGATTAACCCAGAGACCTGGAAAAGCTGGAGGGAAGGGCCAAGAGAAGCAGGATGATATTCAGCAAGGATTAATTCTGTGCCTGGGAAGAAAGGGTCCCTGGCAGAGCTGGACCTGAGAATGATGGGGGGCAGAAGGCTGAGGATGATCCTGCAGTGTGTCCTGGCAGCAAAAAAACTGTCCTGGACTGTGAGAAGATGAGGACAAGCAGGAGATCAATGGATGGGATTATAGCCCTCTAATCAGGGCATTTTAGATCATATTAAACTGCTGCAACCAGATTTATCCCTCTTAGGACAAGACAGTGGTCAAATGGAAGGAGTTCAGGCCAGAGATGGTCAGAGAACCTACCTGGTGTGGGACTAGGGCCTGTCCAGCCCAGAGAAGTGATGGATTTGGGGGTCCTAACAGCAGTGTCCTGTACCTGTGGGGATGTTACCAAGGAGGTCAAACCAGGATCTTCACAGACATTGGGTCTAAATTCAAATAAGACACTCAGTTTGGGTACAAGGAAAAAGGTTTTCCCTTTGAGCAATCCCCATCCCTGGGGTTTTGAACATCTGAAACCTGAACCATCTCACCTAAGTTGACTCAACTTAGAGCAGGAGATTGAGTTGGAGACCTCCTGAGGTCCCTTTCACCCTTAGTGATCCCAAAATCCTGTGACCAGAGCTAAGTGCCAAATGAGGCCATTCAGACTGATGATTTCCCCTCCAGAGGGAGGGAAAACAAAAAGGAGAAGGAAAGAGAGGCAGCAGGGTCTGGAAAGGGCCCGGTTTGGTGGAGTACCTTTTATAACCATGTCACCCCTGGCATGTGACAGGACAAGGTGAGGTGGAAAGGAGGTCATCTTGCAAAGTTAATGCCACCCTACAACTTGTCCCCATCCTACAGGCCATTTCTGGGGATCTTGGGTGAAAAGCTTTCTAGAGAATATCTTTCCACCAATCCAGGGATACAGAGATGGAACAGTCTCTCCAATTCACGTTATCTCTTGCTGGCAATGCAGGTTTGAGGGAGGCTCTCTGGGGTACAGTGACACCATAAAAGGCTTCAGATCTGTCCCAAACCCTCAGATGACTGACATTAGACTTTTTCCAAACAAAAACACAGATGTCCTAAAATCTCGTGCTTAGGAAAACTGGTTGAAAGTGGAGGAGTAAGGAAAAGGGAGGGCAGTCAGATAAGTGTGTGATATGTGTGAGGGAAGAAGTGGCATTGGGAGAATCTACTGGATTAGAAATCCAACATTTTGTTCCCTTCCCCACTCACTGTCACTCCCCCTTCAACCAAACTATGCAGCCCTTCTAGGTCATCTTGTTGCTGCCCTAAATAAGTGCCCTGTGTCCTGAGAGCCATAGAACAGTGGTGTCTGTCCATGTGCCATCACCTGGTAAGGAACAGACACATCCCTTCCTGCATGCATATGGGGGGAAAGGGAATCCTGCCCCCTGTCCCTCATGTCCTCCAGCTCAACCACCACCAGGTTGCTCCAAAGGGTCTCTGCTTTAACCTGAGACCGCTGAGACCTCCTTCCAGCGGGACTTTACTGAGAGATTCTCCTCCTCCTCCTCTTTTTGCTCTTCCAGGGTGGCTGCATTCCCACCAGAAAACATGTAGGAGTGAGGATCCGTCCGAATCCTCCCTGGCACAGTGCCCACCACCCCAGGGCACAGCCCCCCCCCTCACTGCCAACAGGCTCAAAACCCATTTTTAGGTGATTTTAGTGAATCAGCATCCCACTGCCTCCGGCCTCTGTCACTGAGAAGCCCCAGATACCCTCAGCACCTCTCTGAGGGTGTTCCGGCAGGGAAACTCTCTCGGATTAGGGAATCCTTTATCTCTGGTTTATGTAAGACCCGGAGGCTCCTTTTATGGTTGGCTTTTCCTGCTTTGTCAAGAAGGAAGAACAAATGTGGCTTCATCTGCGCTTGTGGGTTGGCTCCCTGATTAAGCATCTGATTCAAAGCTAAGTATGGAACAGGCTTTTGATGGGTGGATTTAATTCCATGCAAAACCCAGGATGTCGCCCCCCCCCTCCCTCACCGAATATTCCCGGGATAGCAGTTGGTCTGGTGCAATTAGGCAGTGGGGATGACTCCCACCTACCAGCGCCTGAGAAAGTCCAGAGTGTTCCACTTTGTGCTGAATTGGCTCCTTTGAGTGTTTCCCCCTCTGTTCCCCCCCCTCCTCTTTTCTTTTCTCTCCCTCTTTTTTTTTTTTTTTTTCCTGCCGATTTACCACCATTCCCAGGGATTTGCATTAGGAGTGAGCTCACCCCGTGTGTGTGTGTGCGAACATTTGGGGGTATGTGTGGGGGCCCGGGGGCGTCTGCCTGTGTGTGACACCCTGAATTCCTCCTCAGCTGAGCCCTGCCAGGGGAAAGCACGTTAACGGTGACCTTGCTGAGTAAATAGTTGTGGAATGAATAAGTGCTTTTCCCGCAGCCCGAAAGGCGGAAGGTGCGATTACTCATCCATCCCTCCAACTGTCTCCAGCACCTTTCAAGTGCTTCTCGCGTCGAGTCTGGGGGCGTGAGCGAGGGGGTGGGAAGCGAGGGGAGGCTGCCAAAATCTGGGTTGCCACAGACACCGGCCTCGCTTCTCCTCCAATGAACGCTGCGCTGGGAGTGCGGGAGGAGGCAGAGCACCACCCACATGTTGAGCCGTGCGGAGTATAAGTAGATGGAGGAGCCTGGACTAGTGGCAGTTCAGCCAGGGAAGAGAAGCAGCTCTTTGCATCTCTAGTGGAAAAGCGTTTTTTGGCTCGCCAACTTTTACCCGAGGAGGAATCACCCGGATTTTTGCAGCAGCTCCTTCGTGTGCTTTTCTCGAGAGGGGACTTGGCGCTGTTGAAGATCCTCAGCTCCGGACGAGCAACGGGATTGGACACCTTATCCAACTCCTCTCCTTCTTCCTGGAGGATCCTGGTTCTCTCTGGGACACGCTGAGCACTTGAGACAGGAGTTTCCAGCTGGGCACCAGAAGAAATTTGCCTCCAACTCTCAGTCTGGGATCCACGGGGACCGACCGGCTCGCTCTGCGGTGATTTCTGATTTGGTTGTGTTTGTGTGGAAAAGTCCTTGAAGGGGGGTTTAGGAGTCTCTGTGTGTCTCTCAGGAAGTGTTGTGGTGGGGGTTTTTGGGAGCCAGCTCCAGTGCCAGGGCTCATAACCCAGTTCTGTCCCTGTTTGACACTCGCACGGTCGCGGCCATGCAGTTGGATAATGTCACCAACGCGGGCATCCACTCCTTCCAGGGGCACCGTGGAGTGGCCAACAAGCCCAATGTGATCCTGCAGATTGGGAAGTGCAGGGCAGAAATGTTGGAGCACGTCAGGAGGACCCACAGGCACCTCCTGACCGAGGTCTCCAAGCAGGTGGAGCGGGAGCTGAAGGGTTTGCAGAAATCCGTGGGGAAGTTAGAGAACAACTTAGAGGACCATGTCCCAACTGAGAACCAGAGGTGGAAAAAGTCCATCAAGGCCTGCCTGGCCAGGTGCCAGGAGACCATTGCCCACCTGGAGAGGTGGGTCAAGAGGGAGATGAATGTTTGGAAGGAGGTGTTTTTCCGCTTGGAAAAGTGGGCTGACCGCTTGGAGTCCATGGGGGGCAAATATTGCCCTGGGGACCAGGGCAAGCAGACGGTGTCTGTGGGGGTGGGAGGCCCTGAGATCAGGCCAAGTGAGGGGGAGATTTATGACTATGCCCTCGACATGAGCCAAATGTATGCCCTGACCCCTCCCCCCGGGGAGGTGCCCAGCATCCCCCAGGGCCACGATTCCTACCAGTGGGTCTCTGTGTCCGAGGATGCTCCAGCCTCCCCGGTGGAGACCCAGGTGTTTGAGGATCCCCGGGAGTTCCTGAGCCACTTGGAGGAATATTTAAAGCAGGTGGGTGGGACTGAGGAGTACTGGCTTTCTCAGATCCAAAACCACATGAACGGCCCAGCTAAAAAGTGGTGGGAATACAAGCAGGACTCCGTCAAGAACTGGGTGGAGTTCAAGAAGGAGTTCCTGCAGTACAGCGAGGGCACCCTGACTAGGGATGCCATCAAAAGGGAGCTGGATTTGCCCCAGAAAGAGGGGGAGCCCCTGGATCAGTTCCTTTGGCGCAAGAGGGACTTGTACCAGACCCTCTATGTGGACGCTGATGAGGAGGAGATTATCCAGTACGTGGTAGGAACCCTCCAGCCCAAACTGAAGCGCTTCTTGAGCTACCCCTTGCCCAAGACCTTAGAGCAGCTGATCCAAAGAGGGAAGGAGGTCCAGGGCAGCATGGAGCACTCTGAGGAGCCCAGCCCACAGAGGACCCCCGAGATCCAGCCGGGGGATTCCGTGGACACCGTGCCTCCCTCAACCACTGCCAGTCCCGTGCCGAGCAACGGGACCCAACCTGAGCAGCCCCCCAGCCCCCCAGCCACTGTCATATGAGCTGCTCTGCAGCGCTCTGGGTGAAGTGCAAGGGAGAAGGGGGCTTATTTAGGAAGCTTCTCCTTGGAGAGAGGCTCTGGCTGAGACGGGACATGAGGTGTGCTCAGCCCAAGAGCCCAGGGCAGAGGGGTTGTTAACTTTGCTCGTGGGGGGAGGGAGGTGGTGGGGCAGAGGCACCTTAGGGTGGGGTTACCCACCTCAGCTGAGCCCTGCAAGGCGGGGGTGTTGGAGACCCCGCTGGCACCACTGGGGGGAACAGACCATTTTATGAGATCCCTGATGAGAAACCAGAGACAATTCCCAACTTCTGAAGCAGCCGCTCGGCACTGGCGGCTCTCCAGGACTTCACACGAGTGCAGCAATTGGCTGAGGGTTCCTACCCATCTGGATCTCTCCTTTTCCTTCTCTCCTCCCTCTTCTGAGGAAGTGTCCCTGTCCTAAGGACACAGCTTTCTTTTGACCCTTGCCTGTTTCTGATTAACCACCAGGCTTCTGCTCTCTTTGCAATCTCCTGCTCTTACTTGCTCCAAAGGATTAAATTAATTTTTTTGATTATTTTTTTGTTTTGTGAAGAAAAAAAATCCTATTACTTCAGGAATTGAAAGCTTTAAGAGTGGATTATTTTTGATGTTTTTCATTTCTCTGCACCTAATACCTGCTTTAATGTGTTTCCTCTCGAGAGGCTTTATTGGTTTACTCCTTGTCTGAGTTTCTGCTCATTCCAATCAAGGCCACTGCAGTGCAGAGGCAAATTTCTCCCTTTCCCTGCACATTATCCTGTGCATTCAGCAGGAAACAGATTTCCTAATTAAATTGTGAGCTCATTTATTGAAGGAGCAGTCTGCTTCCTTTCAGGGAGGGCATCCAGGTGGAGAGAGGAGACACCAGAGCTCTTTTGAGAGGATGGGGGGAGGGAAGGGAAATCCAAATCCTTATTCTTTGAACAAAACAAACAAACACAACCCAAATTCAGAGCAAAACATCCCCGGAGCAGCAAATTGAGTCCACACTGATGTGTGGAGGCAACAGGAGCTTTTGCCATGTAAAAGCAAAGAGAAGATGTGAAGAGAGGACGTGTGTGCCCAGCACAGCTTCAGCAAAGAGCTTCTGCTCACACAGACAGGCTCAAAATGCTCTTGGAAAGCCTGGAATGCCTGTCCTGGAGCACCTGAGGACAGAGCAGTGTCTGCTCACAAAGAACTTTCTACAACATCTATCCATGGATGGAGGTGGACTTGGACTTTGTGACTTTTTCCGTGTGGAGACAGTAAATGCTCAGCGTTCATCTGTGGCCAGAGTTTGAGGATGGGACTTTAGAGATGAAAGACATTCATGAAGTTTGGCTCTTTGAAGCTTCTGGAGGCTGGAGCACCATCTTGAGCATCATCTGCATTCACCACCAGCCCAAAAGAACAGCGCCTGTGCAGGAGATGGAGCAGGGATGCAGCAGCAGGAGTGACCCTGGGATGCTCCTGGCACTACCAAAGCAGGGACACGTGGCACTGGTGGCTCAGAAGGCCTTGGGTGTGACTCCTTCCAAGAGGATGAAGGTAAGGAGACTTCCTGCATTCTCTTCTCAGACCTGAATTAGCCATGGCCCATCCAGTAGGAAGCTTGCACTGGGATAAATACTAGTCTGGAATGGGACATGAAGCACTAGGGTTGGGAGAAAGGGGAAGGGAGAGGCAGCCAAAGGGAAATGCAGGACAAGGAGTGGGAAAAGTTTCCAAAGAGGGCAGCATCTTGCACTTTCTCATAAAGATGAGGAGAAAATGGGAAGTTTCTTCATTAGCTCACCCTGAGCTCCTGCCACATGAAGCTCTGGGCTGGGATAACAACCAGCCCTGTTAGGAGCCTGTCTTGGGAATGTGGGGGCTCTCCTCTCACTTGTTGGGAGTGAGTTGGTTTGTGAGCAGCTCTGGGAGCATTTCTCACTAATGCCCTGGGATGAGTGATGGGGGAGTGGGTGTCACTGCTGAGGATGAGCTGGCCATGCATTACAAACATTATCTCCTCTTGGTTGCAGTGACTCACTCAGATCCTCCTCTGAGAAGGAATCACTTCACAGCACTCAGGAATTGGAAGGAAAGGCCCAGAAAAACCTTCAAACCCAAGGATTTGACATCAGACCTGCTCTCAGAGTCCACAGCCACCAGCTGCCAGCTCCACCAGCTGAAGGAAAGACTGGCACAGGTAATTACCTCCCATCTTACCCTGTGGGCCTTTCAGCCTCCCCAGTGCCTTGAGATAGTGAATAGCCCAGGTACAAACATCTGTGCTGGTCCTGAGGCCTCAGCCCTGGTGGTTGCAAGAGGTTGACACCACCAGAGAGGTGGCATTTCAGCTTCTTGGGGTCAGAACCCAAGCACCAGCCCCAATTAATGCTCTGGGGACAGTGCATTGCAGCAGAGGGTCTTTCCCTCAGCTGGACCATTGGCAAATCCTTGGACACCAACACCTGGTGGGTCCTCCAGGCTGCAGACACTTCATGGGCACAGCTAAATTTAATCCCAACTCCTGAGAAATCTCCTTTATTCTCCTCTTTAGAGATCTAATCAGAGCTGCTGCATTTTTTTTTCTGTTTTACAGCAATCCCTGCTGCTGTTGCTGAACTTCCTTCTCTGTGCCCAAGAGCTTTCCCAGGGAAGAGGCTGCAGGAAGACAGAGGGCAAATCCTGCACCAAAGAGCCTCCCTGTGTTCAAGGTGCTGAGAGTCCCAGTGAAAGGGGGAAGCCACTTCCAACAGCACGAAGAAAAGTCTGAGCTGGTCCAGATATTCCAAGCACAGAAGAAAGTGCTGAGAATGGAAAGAGAAGCCAAGAGGCCAGAAGAGAAGAAGCAAGTGCAGGTTTTGGGGACAGCAAGGATGCTGGGCTTGTGCTGACTGTGTGTTGAGATGACACCAAACCTCTGCGATTTGGGGCCGCTGGGACTCACCTGAAGAACTCTTCACCAGATTATCAGCTCCAAAAAACTTTCCTGATTAACTTTGCCAAAAGGCTGACCCTTCTTAGGCTACGAACCCTCCAGGCTGTCAATGCTGTAACTCATTTTTCCTGAGTTTTTCGGGGGGAGCTTCATTTCATGCGGGTACAAGTTTCAAACCTCAAAGGGCTCCGGAGGTTCGGAGAAGCATCCCGGTGTTCCTGATGCTTGTCTGAACTCTTGGAGCCTGCACAACTGTCTTGCCAGAGAGGAGAGTGTTGGGAGGCAGCAGGAGCTCTCTGGATCTGCATGGGCCAGAGTTACTGCAAGAACTGGGGTTCTTGTGCTGACTCTGGGGGGACTGTTTCCATCCAGACCCAGGGAGCCCAAAGGGACGAGTGAGTTGGACGAGGCAGTTTTGCTTCACATCTCAGCTCAAGGGGTCCAGTTGGTTCCTCTCTCTTCCAGAGCCAACTGTCCTGGGGGTGTGTGGGTGTGTGTGGGTGTTGCTGTGGGGGTGTGTGTCGGGCAAACAAATCCACCTCAGCCCAGTTCTGGGGTGGACCCAGGGTACATTCCAACAAGGCTCAGCAAAAATGTCCGGGACCAGAAAATTCTGGAAAACCATGTCAAGCCAGACTCCACAGGCATCATCTCAAGGTCAGAATGATGTTTGATTTTGAGGTGCTTAATTTTCACAGTCCCTTTCAAGGGACTTGACTGCCTCAATAGGCATTTTATTTTTTTTTCCCATAGGCTTTCCTGCCTTTTTAATGAATTAGCCTGTCTGTGCTACTTGGTTGTTTGGTCCTGAGGTTTATACATTTTCAGCTGCCTTTTTGGAGTGTGAAGAACTGAATCTCCTGGACTGATTTTATTTCACCTGTTGCTCCTGGCAAACTGGAGCTTTACTTGTAGCACCCTGGTTTATATTACCAGCCTCCCCAGGAAGGGCTGGTAGTTTATTTTCCTGGGGCAGAGCCACACGAATGAAGAAGTGTGTATGTGTTTTGTCTCTGAAACTTCAGCAGATTTCAACCACTGCGGTTTTTTTTTCCTCCTTAGATGGTTTTACATTTGAACTCTGACAAAACTTCTTTAGAGTTTTTATTTTTACTAGAGATCTTCTTAATTCAAGCAACCTTGTACAAAAGGCAAACCCATTGAATCGCTGCAGGTTGTAGGGGTTGAAGCCAAAGGTCTTTGTAAGCCGACATCACCTGCCCTGGATCTGACTGTATCAGGCAGTTTATTCCTCATGTGTCATGTTGGAGCTACAAGATCACCCCAAGCCACTAGAACCTGTCAATAGAATAGTGCTACACTCTATTTGCTATTGTAGCAAAGCCTTTTGTAGATTTATACAATAAAACTTTGAAATATTCTGCTTCAATTGCTTTGTGCTTCGCTTTCCGGTCTTTCTTCCTTGGTTTATGGGCAACAAAAGTACCTGCTGCCCTCTGAAAGTTTGGGTTTGTCAGCCATTTGGCCTTACTTGATTTGAGAAAAATCTTTGCAGAGGAGGGGTTGGATGTGGAGAACAGGGAGGTGTTTTGAGGGAGTTGTTTGGCATCTAAGATTGAGTCACCTGCAGCCCATGAGGTGGGAGCAATCCCTCGTGGGACTGTGGGATGTGGAGGGCTCTTGTGGGGTACAACTGAGAGCAAGGCTGTTGAAACAGGAGGGGATCACATTCCCACCCATTTCTGAGAAATGGTATGCACAGAAGAGCTGAGGCAAGTCAGGACAAGGTAAAGAAATCTCTAAACCTCAATCAGCTCTACTTGACCTCTGAAGAGGCTTCAGCAGGTAGAAAACCAGCACTCAGCAATAGAGAGACCCAGGAGAAATTCAGCCTGGTGCTTTGTTTATTGATGCATTTCCAAATTCCTTGGGTTCATTACCTGTAAAAAAATCCCTGGGCCATACAGGTTGGAGGTAGGAACATACAGGAACATAAAGGAATAGAGTAGAGGATGGAACTCAGAGTCATTTAAACTGAAATGTGTATTTTTGCAATAGTTTGGGCTCAAATTTCTGGCCCCACAGATGTTCTAGGTATGGAGGACTCTGCTCTGCCTCTGCAAATCCTGCCTCTTCTGGAAAGGTTTTACACTCAGGTGGACTTAGCCCCCATTCCCTGCTCTGTCCTTAGTCACTCTCCAACAGGGATGGTGTTGGGAATACCAGGGGTGAACAATGAGCACTTGGGTGGGTCAGCTGGAAAAACCAATGGACTCATCCCTTTCCCAAGAGGGAACAAATGTGCCCTGCCAAGTGAACCACCCAGATACCCCTTCTGAGCTCAGGTTGGGAAGGCAGAAATGGTCAGATGGCCAAAAGGAGACCTGCCAACCTTTGTATCTCCAGCTCTTTACAGCTCATCCAACCACAAAATCTTTGCAGGAGCGAGGAAGAAACTTTGAAGGTGCAGTTTTGTTCCTCAGCTGAACTCTCCCCACTTCTGGCATCAGTAAAAAGGGGAAAAACAAGAATTGAGGGGACAAACCATCACAGGGGTCCAGCTAATGCAATCCCATCCTGGGACAGTGCAGCGAACTGGGGCAGGAGAGCAGGTTTAGACTTCTCAAGGTCTCTGGACATGGCCAAAAGGGACATGACCAATGTGATGCCTCAAAGAGCGAAAAGCGAGAGCTGCACCAACCCTGCCAGAGTTCAAAAAGTGTTTGGACAACACTCTCAGGCACATGAAGGGATTCTTTGGGGTTGTCCTGTGCAGGGACATGAGCTGGACTTTCATGGTCCTTGTGGGTGCCTTCCAGCTCAGGATGTTCTAGGATTTGATGCTCAGCTGGAGGTGCTGAGCTTTTCCAGCAGAGGGGGGCAGAACTCCACTGTTCGCTGTGGGAATTAAAAGTAGGAAAATCCACTTAAAAAAGGGGAAAATCTCTCCTTGTCGCCATCAATCCTCACATGGCCCACTCCAGATCATCCACAAGATCAGTGGTTGATCATTGAGGGAGATGTGAGGGAAGGGGCAAATGAGAGGTTGGTGTGGAGAGCTGAGAAGAACTGATGGCCAAATTACAGTGGAGGAAGATGGACAGGATGGAGATGCCCTGCTGGGGGAGTTGAAAAGGTGGATGAGGCTGGGAAATTCCTGCCTGTGCCAGACAAACTCATTGGGTTTCCAATTTTGTTCCACAGCCTTCCAGATTTGACTCTAGTAATTGTTGTTTGCTTTCATTCTGACAGTTCTAGATGAAAAGGTCCAGAGAGTCACTGGACCTACACCTTTAATTAATGAAAAAATGTCTTATTTCTGCTCCTGGCTCTAGGAATAGAGAGTCACCTAGAAGAGATGCAGCCCAGTGATGGATGAACTGCCTCAAACTAGTTGAAATCCCCTCCAAAATCAGAGTGGGAACCATCCCTGTGTTTTCTGGGCCATGATCCCAATATCAGGGATATTCACAAGCACAACAGGACCAGAGGAAACAGCAGCAAGGGAGGTTTAGATTATATATTATAAAAAAAAATCCTTCACTGAAAGGGTGACCAGGCATTGGAAAAGGCTGCCCAGGGAACTGCCCAGTGGAATCACCATCCCTGGAAAGCCTCAAAAGGCTTTGGATGTGGCACTTGGGGACATGGTTTAGTGGTGGATCTGGCAGTGCTGGGTTACAGGTTGGACTCAGTGATCTTAGAGGGCTTTTCCAACCTTAAAAATTGACTCTATAAATGATGGACAAGACATGAGGGGTCACTTACAGAACTGAAAAAAAATCTTAATTTACAATTACTTGATAAATTTTATTTTCCTTCTCTCTTTATTGTGACTGCACTACTGGACTCCTTAATTTGCATATTTAGAATGGCTTAAAGAAGGGGCCAAGATGGACCTGATCAGACTATTGCACATATGAAATAGTTCATAGAATCATGGAATGTTTTGGGTTGGAAAGAGCCTTAAAGATTATCCAGTTCCAACCCCTTGCCATGGACAGGGACACCTTCCACTAGACCAGCTTTCTTTTCTATTTTTTTTTGAATTTTTTTTGTCTTCTATTTCCTTTTTTAATCAAAGAGATTGCACCGGTCAGTGATGTAAATCATATTTACTGACTTCCCAGCCCAGCTGCTCCCCTGGCTCTCCTTTTTCCAGCAAAGCAAGTGTAATTAGGAAGCTGTGAAACTTCCATTATTGACACAAGCGGCTCTAATGGCTCCACTTATCACCTCAAAACGCTGCTCTGGTGAGCTTTGGGTGCTCACTCAGATCATGTTGTCTTAGACCTGTTCTAAAGATACTTATTTATACTAAGAACGAGTTGCAGGTGAAGTGGTTTTTACAGCTCTAATCTGTTAAAAATTGAAAACTTACCATCAGCTCAATTCAGGAAATAATTTCTGATGATTATTATGGAAGGCACAGTCATTTTCATTATTTCTAGGCTATATTTAGGAATTTTTAAGATCCCATTAAGTTACAGTGATAGTGCAGTGTCAGTGTGTTTTTCAGTCTTTCCCTCTTCAATGTTTATTAAGTTTCTACTTGTTAATTTATGCTCCTACAGGAGAGCTGGGGGAGCTGGGAAAGGGAGATGAGGCTCTCCAGTTGGCAGGACTCAGTAAGAGGCTGAGCCAGAGTGGCTGGAGAGCAACCAGGCAGGGAGGGACCTGGGGGTGCGGATGGACAGCAGCGGGACACAAACCCAGGGGTGCCCAGGGGGCCAAAAAAGCCAATGGATCCTGGCCTGGATCAGGAAGAGTGTGGCAGCAGGAGCAGGGAAGGGATTCTGCCCCTGCACTGGGCACTGGTGAGGCCATGCCTCGAGTGCTGATGGAAGGCCTGTGGGATACATTTGCAGAGGACACCGAGCTGGGGGGGAGTGTTGATCTGCTGGAAGGCAGGAGGGCTCTGCAGAGGGACCTGGACAAGCTGGATCCATGGGCTGATTCCAACGGGATGAGGTACAACAAGGCCAAGTGCTGGGTCCTGCACTTTGGCCACAACAACCTCCGGCAGCTCCAGGCTGGGTCAGAGTGGCTGGAGAGCAGCCAGGCAGGAAGAGTCCTGGGAGCTGGGATGGACAGGAAGCTGAACAGGAGCCAGAGTGTGCCCAGGTGGGCAAGAAGGCCAATGGATCCTGACCTGGATCAGGAAGAGTGTGGCCAACAGGTCCAGGGAAGGGATTCTTCCCCTGGACTCAGCGCTGGTGAGGCCTCCCCTGGAGTGCTGTGTCCAGCTCTGGGCCCTCAGCTCAGGAAGGACATGGAGGGGCTGGAGCAGGTGCAGAGAAGAGCAACGAGGCTGGGGAAGGGTCTGGAGCACAATTGCCATGAGGAGAGGCTGAGGGAGCTGGGGGGGCTCAGCCTGGAGAGGACGAGGCTCAGGGGAGACCTCCTCACTCTCTGCAACTCCCTGACAGGAGGGGGGAGCCAGGGGGGAGTCAGGCTCTGCTCCCAGGAACCAGCAGTAGGACAAGAGGGCTCGGTCTCCAGCTGTGCCAGGGGAGGCTTAGGTTGAACATTGGGAAGAAGTTCTTTCCAGAGAGAGGGATCAGCCCTTGGAATGGGCTGCCCAGGGAGGGGGTGGAGTCACCGTCCCTGGGGGTGCTGAAGCAGAGCCTGGACGTGGCACTCGGTGCCATGGGCTGGGTGCCAAGGTGGGGTGGGGGCACAGGTTGGACCTGACGATCTCAGGGGTCTTTTCCAACCCAGCTGATTCTGAAATTCTGTGATTCTGTGACCTTTACAAGGGCATGGAGGGACAGGACAAGGGGAGATGGCTTTAAGCTGAAGGAGGATACATTTAGATTGGATATTGGGAAGAAATTCCTAGTTGTGAGGGTGGGGAGGCCCTGGCACAGGTTGCCCAGAGAAGCTGTGGCTGCCCCATGCCTGGAAGTGTCCAAGGATGGCTTGGAGCAACCTGGTCTAGTAAAAGGTGTCCCTGCCCACGGCAGGGGCTGGAACGTGGTAGACTTGAAGGTCCCTTCTAATCCAAACCATTTTTAAGGTTACAACCTTAAGTTTGGCTTTTCTGCTGGTGTCAAAATTGTCAGTGACTTTGGGCCCTCCAGGGGGTGGATTTGTAACTTTTCAAGAGTGTAACACAGGCTTTGTTAATCCTGGTTACAAAGAGGGATCATTCCTTGATCCTGTTGGGAAAATAACTTCATTTGGGGTAAGGAAGGGTTTCACACCATTCCAAAGACAGAAAATTCTGAGTTCCTGAACAGCAGAGGAGCACAGAGGATGCAAATCTTGCATCAGGAGAAATATTGAAATTATTTAATTGAATAGTCAAGTCAGGAGAGAGCAAAATAAGGCAAGGTCAAGTCTGATGAGAAAGTCTCCTGATAATTCCTGATATTAAGATGAAGTTGGAAAAAGAGATTTCTTCACTCACCAACTCAGCAGAAGTCT